TCAAGTCTGTCCAGATCCTTCTGTATCTTAAGCCTGTCTTCTGGAGTGTTGGCTATTCCTGCCAGCTTGGTGTTGTCTGCAAATTTGATGAGTTCCCCATCTATCCCCTCATCCAAATCGTTGATGAAGATGTTGAAGAGCACTGGGCCCAGAACAGAGCCCTGGGGCACCCCACTACACACTTCCCTCCATGTAGATGTGGTTCCATTGAGGACCACTCGCTGAGTATGGCCGGTCAGCCAGCTACGGATCCATCTGGTGGTGATGCTGTCTACCCCACATTTTTCTATCTTTAATCTCTCTTTCTTTATCTATCTATCCAATCTTCTATCCTATTACTCATTTTATTATCTATGTATCTATCTATGTATCTATGTATCTCTGTCTATGTATCTCTGTCTGTCTGTCTGCCTGCCTGCCTGCCTGCCTGCCTGCCTGCCTCTCTCTCTCTCTCTCTCTCTCTCTCTCTCTCTCTCTCTCTCTCTATCTATCTATCTATCTATCTATCTATCTATCTATCTATCTATCTATCTATCTATCATATTCTCTATCTCTATCCAATCATCTATCTATCTCTCTTTAATTCTCTCTCTTTCTCTATCTATCTATCTATCTATCTATCTATCTATCTATCTATCTATCTATCTATCTATCTATCTATCTATCTATCCAATCATCTATCCTATTAATCATTTTCTTATTATCTATCTATCTATCTATCTATCTATCTATCTATCTATCTATCTATCTATCTATCTATCTATCTATCTACCTACCTACCTACCTATCTACCTACCTACCCACCCACCCACCCACCCACCCACCCATCCATCCATCCATCCATCCACCCAACCCCATCCATCCATCTCATTTATAAGGCTGTCTTTCCCATAAGAAGTGATTCCCCCCCCCCGTGGCATACAGGAAAAAAAGAAAAGAAAAAAAAAGCATAAAAGCAATAAATGTGTAAAGCATGGTCAATTAAAATAATGGAGCCAGCCAATACATTATCAGTCTCTTTGAGACCCCCATAGGCCTAAGGGCAAAGCTGGACCCCTTGGAGAAGTGTGGACTTCAATTCCCAGAATTCCCCAGCCAGCATTATTGAATCTGTCATTTGTACTTCTATAAACTGTCCAGTTTGGCACAGCCACCAAACAGGAGAGGTAAAGATTTCACCGAATAGTTAGGACTGCGGAAAAAAACAATTGCATCCAGCCTTGCCTTCCATTGAGGATCTGTAGACTTCATGGGTTGGAGGGAGGGCTGAGAAAATAGATGCAGACCCCTCCCATCCTGGACACAGACTGTTTCAACTCCTCCTCTTGGGACGCTGCTGCAGGGCATGGCATGCCAAAACATTCTAGACACAAAAACAGCTTTTTCCCTCGTGCCATCAACATTGCTGGACACCCCATTCCAACAGCACCGTCTAATGCAGTGGTTCTCAACTTGTGGGTCGGGACCCCATTTGGGGTCGATCGACCATTTCATGGGGGTTGCCAAGCAAGGCTGTCCGCCATTTTTTTTGTCCGCCATTTTTTGTCCGCCATTTTTTCCCCCTTTTCCGGCGGGTGCCTTACCTCCCTTGGGCTTCTCTTCTCTTCTCTTTCATTTTCTCTTCTCTTCTCTTCTCTTCTCTTCTCTTCTAATTCTGTTCCATCTTCTCTTCTCTTCTCCTCTTCTCTTCCATTTTCTACTATTCTATTCTATTCTGTTCTAATTCTGTTCCATCTTCTTCTCTTCTCTTTCATTTTCTCTTCTCTTCTCTTCTCTTCTGTTCTAATTCTGTTCCATCTTCTCTTCTCTTCTCCTCCTCTTCTCTTCCATTTTCTACTATTCTCTTCTATTCTGTTCTGTTCTGTTGTGTTCTAATTCTGTTCCATCTTCTCTTCTCTTCTCTTCCATTTTCTCTTCTCTTCTGTTCTGTTCTAATTCTGTTCCATCTTCTCTTCTCTTCTCTTCTCTTCCATTTTCTACTATTCTATTCTATTCTGTTCTGTTCTAATTCTGTTCCATCTTCTCTTCTCTTCTCTTCTC